CTGCAAGTGTTGGTTCTATCATAGTAATACCTAGAACAGCTGTAAAAATGGGTACAGAAGGATCTGAGAAGTTTACTTTAAGAATAAATTAGTCTTAAGGTTAAGATAATGATCTAGATATCTGGATATGATCTAGTGAGTTAACACAACTTACAGGTTTAGAGAGTTTAAAATAGGACACCCAAGCAGGAGTATTAGGTATAACAATTGGTAAAAAACCTTCAGGTGGACTCCTTAAATAGGTAATATAGAAAAGTTATACATGTAGCCAATTGTACATTCTCCTGTAGTAGTTCATTAAACCATAATACCAATAAGTGATTAATAAAAGTTAAAAGACCAAAGAGGTCATCTAAATACTAAAAAAAAAATAAAACTTAAACTAAAGAAAATAATAATAAAATAATTTAATATTTAAACTAATCTACTTATTATAATTTAATTTTTATTATTTTATTATTTACTGAAAACATTAAAGTTCGGAAATTTATTAAGATAAAAAAGTTGCACTTATATATATTTTAAACTATTATTAGTAATAAATTTGTTCATTTTATTGTCACTTTAAATAATTTTTTGTTATACTTCTTTTAAGTAATATATTATAAAAACATTGTAAGTAATTTAATTATTTTTCAAGAACATAAATTATAAAGTTTATGTTCTTTGATTGTTCTTAAATAAGAATATAATAATTAGATTTTAAATTCTTGCATTTTTTTATATTTTTGTATACATTAAGAACATCAAATTTTTAACACTGCTTATATGTATGCCAATGATAAAAATAACTACTTTAATGTGTTTTGTTATAAATTATTCCAAATTAAAACTATTATTATTATATAAAACCAAATTTTTTTAACTTTATTTTATAATTCAACTTTTTTATATAATTATAAAGTATTTTACAAAATTTTTTAAACTTAAAATTATTACAGATATTAACTAGCTAATACTTAAAAATTATTTATAAATCATAATTTATAGTATTAACTCCAAAATATAAAGAGTTAAATAAATATTTTATATCATTTTATATTTTTACTTAAATAATAAATTCAAACAGAAGATTTGCAATAGTTATTTTATTTTTAGAAGCATTAAGATTAAAATCTGGTTAAACATTATTAATATAATTCTTAAATCAATTAGTTCATATTATAATACTTTTTTACATATTTTTAAATATATTTTTTTTTATAGAAATAAAGTCTTTTTGCAAATAATTTTTTAAATCTTTTGTAAGTATTAGGAAATTACTATAAATAGAATTAAAATTAGAAGCTTTTACAAAAGAATAGATTATTTTTATTTTTTTAGTATTGATATCTTAAAAGAAAAAAAAATTAAATTGTATATTTGAATTATTGAATTAATATTATTTTATATAAGTTTAATAACAAAATTTTAAAAAATTTAGCTAAGCAATAAATTAAAAAAATATTAATAAAAATAAAAATAAAAAAAGTAGTACAATCAACAATAAGAAGACTAAGAATAAAAAAAGTAACTATAATATAAGTAATATATATAAACAATATATAATAGTATTAAAACTTGGTTATATATTACAAATAATAAGACTTTAAAAAAACAATTAATAATATACAAAATTCTTTATTAAAATTAGCAAAAAATAAATTAAAGATAATAAAAATAATATAAATATAATTTTATAATGACCTTAAACATCTAACTATAAACTTTAAAATAATATAACTCATCAAGCATATTGACTAAATATTTTCAGCTAACCCAACTTATAATATATCATATATACCTCTCAAGTGATAGGTTGTGAGTTCAAAACCCACTAACAGTGAAAATTTGAACAATCACCTACTTTAAATGATAAAACTATCTCTTTTAAATCTTTTTTTTCTTCTTAACTTAAATATCATATCTTTAAAAAATAACTCAAATATCACAAACTTCTTTTCCTTGACCAACGACTACTTATAGTAATTTATTCTTATTACATTGTCTAGTTTTTGCATACCACCCTACCACCCTCATATGTGACAATTTGTTTAAAAAATTTTATAATTTGATGCACAGCAAATATTAGTAAGGTTTGGTCTGTTAGATGATACACACCTATTACGCTCGAGTAGGTATTGTTTTGATGGATAGAACATAATGAATTACAACTGTTCTCATAAATTTTGAGACATCTGGTGAATAAATTGACCGAATGATTTTTTTGCCACTTGATAAGTTTATGATTTCGATATATGTAATAATGTGTTGATTTCAACAAGATCAATATATATAATAACTATATAACATATATTACTATTTTTATCTTTGCTAATAACATTTTCAAAGCATCTCCGTCGGTAAATTGTTGAACAATATTTGGAAAACCTAGTAGTTCGGGTAATTGCCAGACATCTAGGTGATAGCAAGTCGAATTTTTAAATATTTTCGAAGATATGAGTGTGTAGAAAAGCTTCCGGCACTTTAGGAAGATCATGTTTATTAAATTTGGATTATATAAAATATTTCAAAACTTTAAGGTGTGAATTACAGTTATAATCCTCAATGTAATAAGATGTAAAAGTTTTTTATATAATTAAAAACAGGTGATGATTAACAGGAGGAACCGTCGATGTTACACTAATGATTTTTCACCCGGTGTGCAACATATAAAAAAATCATTTTACTATACCAGATCATTCCGCTAGTACATGTTATGATTATAATCCCACACCATTTTTATTATAATAAAATGGTGTGGGATTATAATCATAACATGTACTAGCGGAATGATCTGGTATTGTAAAATGATTTTATATGTTGCACACCGGGTGAAAAATCATTAGTGTAGGCTTTAATTATCACCTGTTTTTAAGTTAGTGAAAAATTTTGGTTGTTTGGAATTATAGCTTGTATTGTATTGGAATTATAGCTTGTATTGTATTTTTATTTAATCCAGTCAATGAATCCTTGTTCACATCGAACAGTTTTTTTATTGGCGTAATATATTTATTGTGAAAGCTTATACTTGGAACCTTTTACGTCTTTTGTTAAGATCTATTGGTTGGCAAAAGCAACCTTCGCTATAAATTTTCGTACAGACCAAACACAACAAACATACCGGACATGAATTCAAGCGAAAACTTAATTTTGAATGTAATATCGTTCAGAATACTATGATACTAATCACGCCTCAAATCAATGTTTATCGCTGCCGAATTAAAAAACTTAATGAATCGCTAAATAATCATTCGACCAATTTTTCACCAGATGTTCCAAAATTTATGAGAACAGCTGTAATAGTCATTGTTTTAGTGAATATTAGTAAGGTTCGGCCTGCCGGACAACAATCAAATCTTAAGTTTTAGTAAGTGGCCAGTCGGGACGACAGTCACAAGAATATTTGTGCACATTACGTTCGTGTAATGAATTAATAGTTGTTACTTTAGTGAATATCAGTAGGATTTGTCTGTCGGACGGACAACAGTCAAATCTTCAGTAAGTGGTCTGTTGAGAAGACAGTCACAAAAGAATTATCACGAATTATCGCATCTGTACACATTACGTTCAACCAAATTTTAAGTCTCTAATAGATGGCCTTTCGAAACAGTCACAAACGAATTATGGCATATTTTGAATATCGGTTAGATTTGACCTGTCGGACGACAGTCAAATCTTAAGTTTAGTAAGTGGCACATTTGTACGCATTACACTCAGTATGGGCATATGGGATAGCGAAATTACAAGGTCGGTTTTTTTCCAAACAAGATAGTTACTGTTTTTTTCTGTTAAACCAACCTTGTCTTGTTTTTTCGTCGCATTCGTATGCAATACGATCGGGTAGATGGAAAGAGCGTAGTGAATTAGTGGTTGTGGCCTGTCTGACGACAGTCAAATCTTAAGTTGTAACCTGTCGAGACGACAATCATAAAGAATTATATTTTTCTTTTTGGTTCTCGGTTCGCCTATCGGACGATAGTCAAATATTAGGGTTTTTAGTAGGATGGGCAAATTGAAATATACGCAGGCCAGCATTATGATAGTTTGCTGCTAATGCGGGCCAGAATTGCGAAATTCCGAAATATTCCGCCTACGTAGTGGCCATCATATATTTATTTGTGCGAGAGAAAAAGTTTTGGGATGGCCTGTCAAGACGATAGTCAAGAACCTAGTATTTCATAGTTTTTAAAACACTTCTTCGATGAGAGATAAAAAAACTCGGACCACTATAGGAAATAACATGTATGTACGTTATTTCGCGAAAATAAGGTATACATAAAAATTATGATTGGCTGTTGATTTTGTCATTAAGGAAGAGGGTCTGGCCTTCTAATAAAAGAAATTACGTAATAAACGGCACGACCTTACTAGGCTTATAAAGTAATCCACATTTGACGTTAATGAAAGGATTGAGCGAATCAAACTCATATAGGGTTGGTCGGAATTACTAAATTACTAAATGTTCCTAAAGTCACCTAGATCCAATAAAATCTCGATGATTGCAACTGCCTTTTGTTAAAACAAAATGAATAAATATTAGATATCGATGATATATATGACGTTATATACACTTTTCCAAATATTGTATAGGTAATCACCAGTAAAAAAAAAAAAAAAAATAGACAATAATATGAAGGTAAAAAGAGTTCACCTAGTTTCTTACCATTGAGGTAAAATGAATAAATTTACCTTTTTTTTTAAATAAACTTTGATTAAAAACGAATTAACATAAAGTGCTAAATTATATAATTAATTACTATTTACAAAAAAAAAGAAAAGCTATTTTTAACGAAATCATCGCAATTGTTTTCTCAAAATATATATATATATATATATATATATATATATATATAATTTATATGATTATTCAATTTTCCCGTGTAATTTGGTTTAGTTACCGTAATATGTAAATAAAAAATTTCTCACAAATGCTTATTATAAATAAATTAATATGTTTTATATACCCGCTGTAAATGTTATAATTGCTTTGTAATATATAAATTAATTGTAAATATCGATTATTGAATGATGGTAAATTTGTCATTTGGAAATTCCAATTTTTCTAAGGCATTTTTAACAGTATCAAGCATTGCCGAAGGCCCACATGATACAAATTTAAATCCCGATTTATCATTCTTAAGAGCACGCATATATTCAATCTTGCTATAATGAACAGTATTATCATTTGCATGTGATGAAGTTTCCCCTATGCTTGCTCTTTCAATTTCAATAGATCCTCTTGGACTTTCGGTAATAAATGTTTTATCAGTTACATTAATATAATCACTGGGCTTTGGTGTATAGTTTTTGGAGATCCAATCAAAAAGAATATTTCCGTCTATATAACCAGTCAATCCATCCCATTTTTTTGGCGGATATGTTAAAATATATGTTACTTTTAATTTTCCATTGCTAGTTATTTCCAATTTGTCTAGATGTCTCTTAAGAATTATATCATATATTTTCTCATTAGCAAAAAATAGGTATAATTTAAAATCTTTGTCTTCGTGTTCAAAGTGATAATCGATCTAGTAAAATTTCCGAAAGTACGATTAAGAACTTTAAAATAAAGTTTTATATTTTTTATTGATTTGAAAAAAAAACTTACCAATTGCAACATTGGTGAAAGTCCAGTTCCGCCACAAACCATAAACAACGTATCCCAACAACCATCATCAGAATCGGTGTTTAGTAATGAAATTGGTTGTATAGAAACTGATTGTCTAGGACTTAATTCTTCTATTCGTCTATCTATTCCAAATGGGCCACGTACTTTTATTTCAAATCCATCTAATAGCTTATCCTATTTCAGTTGATGAAAAATATTTGTGATTTTGTTTAAAAAAAAAAATTGGGTTGATATACAATGAAATAAAGTTAAAAAGAATTAAAAAAAGGTTTACCAAATATGAGGACATAAGACCTTCCTTATAGATCTTTATTATAATGTAGAAACATTTTGGAGATTTTAATTTAAACAGATTATAACATCGTATAATAACTTGTCCTTCTATATGACACATAATTTCTATGTAATCTCCAGGCTTGATTTTTGGTATGCTGTCATTAGGATCGACGGCTTGAAAGATAAATTTTTTGACAGGATTCATCGCACGGATTCCAGTGACTTCATCTTTATTAACAAGTACATATCTTTTAAAGGTTTCTGCTTCTCTAGACAACATTGCAGATGATAAGATAATATTCCTATTAATGGAATCACCTTTAACTTCATTAAATTCAGTTTTTTCCAATTTCCCTATGACCATTGAAGCCAATTTTGCGGTTGCAAACTTGGAATGACTATGCATGACAATTCGCACGTCCTTTACAAAGGTAACATTTATACGATCAACTGTGTCGGCTATTGTTTGCTTTCGTTTTATTGAAGATTTTCGTTTTGTCTCTTTTTTATTCTGATCATCATTTTCTTCATAAAGATCAACCTTATTAATTGATTCATAATCCTTATATTCATCTGTTTTAATTTCCAGATCTTTATCGTTGAAAAAAGCATCAGATATATCAGTTCCAATACTGATATCATAAATTAGAATGCGTTAACATAAATGATTTATTGTAAAAAAAAATTCAATTACAGTAAAAAAAAAAAACCTACACTCGTTGTAATATTTTGACGCCTGAATATTATTATGTTTATCATAAGTATTCATGAGTATATAATATAGACAAATTATTTTACATAATATATGTAGACACTGATTAAAATACGTACCACCAGGATGCGTGTTTGTCCATTTGCGAATATCAAATACGAGGTTTTCCGCGACAACAAGTCGAGCACCACCAATGACTCTATCGTTGATATTCTATTGAATAGATGACTTAAGTAAAATATTTTCTAAACAATAGGAATAACTTAAAGAAACCTACCTTCCATGTTAATGTTGGAAGACTGTTATAAATCTCGTCTGGAATCTCGTTTCGAAGTCTTCTTCGTTTGTTGTTTATTTCGAGATCATTATTAGTCTTAAAAGGTACATTGCCACTATTATATTTGTACCAACATTCGGTACAAATATATATGATAACCAATATACCTTTTTCAATAAATGAAAATTATTTGAATATTTGAGGTTAAAAAAATTTCAAACGATTATGTAAACACATACCTAACCATGTAAAATAAAGATAAGTGAATATCGGACTCGCACCAATTTGTTGAATTCCAAGGTAAATATTAAATCTATCAATGTAACAATAGATTAATTAAATTACATTATTTATTGATTCTCGATTAATAAACTTACGCAGAGATTATCATTAACCCTGTTCCTATAAAAAGATGAAGGGTTTTTATATATGAAAATATGCCGCGATTTGCAGATTCAACAGAGCTAAGACCCCAGATAGTGACTGCACCCAAAGTAAGTTGAAAAAAAACGCCAGTATATAATGAAATTCCAAGACTGCATGCATATAAGAATCGGATTCATAAGTATTCAATATTTCAACCGAAAATTGATAGGTTATTTTCTACGTACATCCCATGCAAAGTTCGCTGCTGATCTTGTGAAACTGCCATAGCTGCGGAACCAAAAGTGAAAACACTAACACTACCAAAAAATTGAAGATTTCGATGCTACAATGGATTAAGGTTAGTTATAATAAGTTTTAACATAATAAACATTTAATAAAGATGCAACTCTCAAAATTTTTTTTTACCTGTTTCATATGATTGTCATTATGTTTCAAATATCTAACAATAAAAATACTGATTGGAAATAAAACACTAAAAAATGAATTAAAAATTAATAGTAACATAATGAAATAATGTAACATTAAGAGACGGCAACATATAAATATTATACTGTACCTCCAAGTTAAAAACATTGAAATACCGTGTGCTAGCCGTGTAAGAAACATGCTATCTCCAGTAATCGATGAAGTTCCAATCCCAGCGACAAAGAAATTAATTAAAATTTTATTCCTGTTACCGCCATGATAACTTAGATAACTTGAAGACTTTAAGATAAAAAATAAAATTCATTAACTTTTGAAACCAAACGGAATGAACGCTTAACAGTATTTACCGGATTCCAAGCATAAATCACTAAAATAAGAGATTAAAGTCATTATTTAGATACACAGGTATAATAAATGATTAATCAATAATTTACCATTTGTCATCTTATTTGCTATTGGTAACTTTCCAGGAACGTTTAATGGTCTCTTAACTTCAACTTGGGTGAGCCCTTTCGAAATATTATAACTAATCACTTTCACAAATTGATTATCATCTTTTATTGGAGGACGATATCCATCAGAATGATAATTAGCAGCGCTTAAGTTGGAAGAATCAATGGTGTTAACGATTAAAAAATCGGTACCCATCATTCCACCATCTAATGAGTTAAAACCGAATCCAAACCACGTATTATCACTCAACATTGTCATTTTTAAGTAAATATCTTCATCAATAATCTTCCACTTAATTTTATATACGTTAGATATTAGTAACACATTCAAAGATGAATATCCATCATCTTGACCATCAGTAACATTGTTGATATTTAAATCTGGTCTTGGTTGAACAAACCAAAGGTTTTGTGGAAGGGAAGTACCAACGGGTGTATTTCGAAGGATTATATCGCGTAAAGTAGTATTGTGAAGGATATCAATTTCAGCGCTAGTAAAACCGGCATCTGGAGATTCATACCAGAATCGATCAGAATCACGTATCAAAGACCACTAATTCATTGAATCCATCACGACAGATAATTTTACAATCCACTCAATGTCAGAATTTCTAGAATAAATCATAAGCATAAAAATATTTTAAAAGCTAACCTGACGGGTCATGCTTGTTTGAAATAATTGTCCGAAATTTGATCCTTGAAGATGATCTTCTGCAAGACCTCCAATAAATGTTTCTACTAGATCAATGCTTGTGTATAAAGATTGCAAACGTTTTTGGACAAGAACATTCGTTGTAATGTCAGACCAAGTATTCGCTCTTGATAAACCCAATGCTGCCTTTTTTTTTCGAAAAAAAATAAGTAAAAGAAATATATATATATATACATATATAGCTTAATTTATCTCCTTAGAAATAAGTATATTTTTTGATTACTTTACCCGAACATCGTTATACATTGGTATGCCGCGGTCACGTGAACGGAGATGGTCGGTGCTACGTATTTAATGTTATGAGTGTCATAAATCATAAAAAATCGGTAAATCAAGAAAATAAAAGGTTGTAATACCTTGCAAGATCAGTAAAACTTCCAGAGACATTATGTGCTCGCATAAAATCTGAATAGAATATGTCTAATTCTTCTTGCCTACAAGTATTTATCATTAAGGTAAGTATAGTAATTGGCATAATTCTACAACCAAAGTTGTCTCGTACCTTTGTAATGACAGAGATAGAACAACCATCGGCACACTATAAATTTCTATGAGGTCAGGCAACTGTAAATTTCTTAGCGACAAGACAGCCTCAGGTTCACCATTTTGATTCACTATTTGATAGCTATCACTTTATTTTTTTTTGGAAAAGAATAAATGATCGTAACACAGTAGCATGGTTTGAGAAAAAAAAAGTACCAATTTATAAACACCTGGCTTCAGAATGCCCATATCTGAAAGTAGATGTTACAAAAAAGTAGTCTAATCCAGGCGAAAGTGTAGGATCATATGCTACATATGTTGGCAATGTTGTTCCCATTATGATTGGCACTTTGCACATGTAAATTAGTTAGTTTAATAATAATAATTATTATTATTATTATTATATAATTAAAATTATAATTATAATAGAAACTTAAAATGTTATTTTAAATGGTACTTACAATATTCTCTGTAATGTACCACTTGCAAAAGTGCTATAACCCATTTCCTGGCTTCTTGAAAATATTTGTCATCAGTTAAAGAATTACCGTATGTTTTGCGTAGTTCATCACATTTACGATTATGTTCACGAATAAAAATTACATGAAACACGTTTGTAAAAACGTGACCACCGCGCTTAGGTAAATGTCCAATTATATAATGACCGTCCTCCCCTATTTTAAGAGAAATTAGTTTGTAGTCCGTTGATTTTTTTTTTTTTTGAAATTTTGAAATAAACGGAAAAGAAAACTTACCTCGAGGAAGATAGCCAAATTTGCCATCTGCAGTCTTTACTGTATAATTCATACGCATTTTACATAGATCTACAGGATCTCTTAATACTAATTTCAAATTCGTCTCATTTAAACCATATATACTAGAACCATCAAGAAAGGATGTTGCTTCATTTACCGTCCCGTAACTCACGGAATAGGTTCGATTAAATTGTAATGCAGGCTGTGATGATTTTTAGAATTAATAAATATAATTATATATAACACATTATATAAAAATATTTTTTAAATATCTATTACCATTGAGGCCGAAGTAGCATTCTCAACACCATTTGAGAGATAAAATTTATCATCATTAGGAATCAGAATACCATTATTATAACTTTCGCCTTGACATTTAAATTAATTTAGTAAATGCTTATATTTTACATTAATCAAAAAGATTAGGCATTAAAAAAAATTTTGATAAGTTACCAGTTTCAATGCTTTTGACAATATCAAAAGCCAAAAAATCAATCCAAAAAGTCATCTAATTTCGATATAATGGTTTGAAATGTAAATTAAGTCACATCATAATCATGTGATGCTGAACGATAATTACCAAATGTGATGACTTCCTTTTCGATTTCATTGAATCAGAATAGGATATATTATTCTGATCAACATATGATTTGTGAATCCCGTTAGCCAAATTACTAATGCATCTTGGAAGAGGGAATTGACCTGATTGCAATGGATTTGTGCAGTTTACACTCAAGATACTAGTATAATTGCCAGGACACTGTAGCATACTTCCAGTGGTAGGATTATCGAATCGTTTGGTAAATTGTTCAAGAGTAAAGTATGGCATTCCGGAAGATCCCGCTTTAGGATTCGCTTTATTATTGCCGACACCATCATAGGAACGATATTCAGCAATCACACTTATTCCTAAAATAAAATAAGACAAACAAAAACTATAGACGTAGTGACTTAATGGTAATTTCATAACAAGCTTTCTTTTCTTGTAATGTAGCAAGAACAATGAGTTTTACAATTTATCGTTATGTAGAAAATAAAAACTTCATTCTCAAGGATCAAAGATTGAAAACTCAATAACAATAATGCAGAATTAAATTAATACAGAAAAGTTGTAGCACGACTCCTACGGTCTTACCAAAAATAGAAATTATTATAATAATCAATTAAAATCACATGAAAAGGCATTTACGTTTATATATAATTTTCAGACATTGAAGTCACTACCTGAATCAATTATATGTATTTATTTAGTTCAAAGAAACGTCAAAAAGGCAACTTGAAATAAACTATAAGATATATAAAAATGTGCACACATATATCGATATATTTTGGATAGTTCATTGCTTTATGTATAATAATCATATTAAATTCAGCAAATTCCTAATGGACAAGTATATGTAAACTTAAGTGATCGTTATACAAACATGCACCATAATCAGTTACAATGAGTCTTATGGCCAATATTGTACGTGAGTACGTATGGATATATTTTTTCTTGGCTTTTTTCTGCTCAATACGTTACTTAATGTTTTCTGAATATAAATAGATATTTAAAAATTTTCTCAATGAAAGCCTTATTTGAATTGAATATACCGAACTCTTAAACTAGAATTACAGATGTACTTGGAACAAGAATCTTCGAGATTTGTTTCCATTGGAAATTATGAATTCAATTTTGGATACAGTATGATGATCGATCGATGTAAAAAATTTCAAGGAGGCAAATATATCCGACATTTTCCGATTTGGTTCATATTTATATATAAATCATCATTATCTTTATTGATTCAATAGTTTATTCTATGGACTATTGAATCAATAAAGGATGATTTATATATAAATATGAACCAAATCGGAAAATGTCGGATGGTGATGTTCAAGGCAATGACCCTATATGCACTCTAACTCTCACTAACCTTAATGCAAAAAGTGGTAATAACCGAGGTTTGCTTCAGGGGTACCGAAAAATTAATTACAACCCAATTATTATGCAATTGCAATTGATTATAATTGTTATTGTAACCATTGATGATGCAAAGAATTGCAAATAATTGCAATTTTTGCTTTCACCATAAACTAAAGTTTCAAAGTATTCTACGTATTCGAAAATGAATATAAATATACAGTAAAATTGTCATTAACTGCAACCGTATATAGAAACTTATGCTTTTGGTGTAAGGTTGCCTGCCGTAATAGGTTTATTAGAGATGGAAAGTTGCAACCTTCCATATCAAAGTTGTAAGGCGTAATAGTTGTAATAGGTAATGATCGTAACGCGCATAATGATTTGACTATGCAATCACACCAAACGAGATATTGACGAAATTTCAGTGATTTTGAAATTTTGTGATCTCGTAATTTCAAAAAAAAGATCCAATACGTATGTGAATAGCCAATAACCATAAGCATGTCCAAATCTATACTATATATTAAAACTCTCAATTTGTTTGTCTGTGCTAAAAGTATTCTTATTGGCTTGCTTATACAAGCACACAAACATGAAGTATTTTCAAGAAAAAAAACCCTCGGGTTTCGGCTTTTTGAGGTTATAACTTAACAGACTCAACCCTTAGAAAGTTTGATTACAACCTATTACGGCATTTACAATTATTACGGCATTACGATAATTATAACCATTACGACATATTTACAACTTTTAGTTGTAATTCGTAATGTCCGTAATTATTACTTACAGCCGACAACCTTAGTTTGGTGAACGTACTCATTCTTAGCAGTAGACTTTCCAAAGTATGTATGTCAAGAGATTTCCTTCCGATCTGTATAGTAATATATGACACGTAAAAATAAATGCTCTACTGCATTGGATGTCTCTACATAACACTTTTGAAATTTGGCGCTCATAGACTTAAAAAAAAGGGTTTGGGTCAAAATCCGACAGACAGAATCCCGACAGATGATAATCCCGACAGTCAAAAATCCCGACAGTTAAAAATTTTGACAATTAAAAACTCTGATAAAAATATCATAGACCATAGCAAACCCTATCTTAACCCTTATCTAAAGTGATCTAACCCTAAAATTAATTAAATTATAAGAGTCTATTTCGCTTTAAACATATCTCATACTTGGGATTTTCTATCTAAAAATTCTGGCTGTCGGGATTTTCGACTGTCGGGATTTTTTTATTGGGATTATGACCTGTCGGGATTTGATCCACACCCGTACACTCAATTAAGACAGAATGAACACCCCGATTAAGATAGAGAACGAACAGCCGTGTACACCCTACACTGTTCGATTAAGATAGAACGAACAGCTGTTTACACCCCACATAGGCTGAACGACTGTGTACAACCCACACTTAGTGATGTGTCGCGTACAGTACTATACGTACTGTACGCGAAAATTCTTGCAGATCACTTCAGATGAATTCTATCAACCAATCATATCACTAGAATCAACTATACACACTATACGTACTGTACGCGAAAAAAATTCGAGTATCATATAAATGGCACATAACTACTCACACTGTGTTAAAACTAAAGAGAAATAGGTTAGAGATAATTAGAAATGCGTTAAAGTAACCACAATATTAGCAGCTAGGGAGCGTCACCATTCCAATAGTTTTCTACATGTATCTCTAAATTAACTGAATTAAGAAATTTGTTATTGATATGGTATAGTTTGCAATGAAGAATAAGTATTAAAACCGGTTCCGACCTCTAGCAGAGGGGTCAAATGTATTTATTACCGTAATATTAAATGATCATCGAAAGTTTATTGGCATCTTTTTTTATACCTGGTTCAGAGCCACCGGATTTTAACAGTAACAAAAATAGCCCTAGCAATATCATGACAACCACAATTTCGGTCAGACTTGGTTATGTGGTTGGCATGATATTGCTAGTGCTATTTTTGCTACTACTAACATCCGGTGGCTCTGACCTGGTTTGGAAAATTTACAATTGAGTATTCAAAGAAATCGCACAAGTAACCTTATAATGGATCCAAGATCACAACATCAACAAGTTCAATAACTATAGCAAAGTTACGGCTATAATGCTGTAAACTACTAGATTACTTACTATAGTTCAAGTTACGACTATTATTTGGACAATTCTACCGCATCACTAGTACAGCCGAATATTAACAAACTAAACATTGTGACGACGACATTTGATAAATAATGAATCGCTCAAGTAATAATTGCAATTCTTTATTTTTGGTTGATTATAATAGATGAGCATCGTCAGTCTACTACCTAATCGCATAGAGAATAGCGTTTGAGAAATTTTGATAACCATATTAACAAAACTTTTAAATAAATATAAATATTGTTGTGCACGATTACGATCACTCGCTAATCACATCGAGATTGAGGCTTGAGAACATCCTTTCTTTATGCATTACTGCATTATTTTAGAAATCCTACCAGATGCGAAAATAATTTCGAAGGGCACTGTATTATATCAAATCAAATTTCAATTTTGGCCGCTAAAATTTTTATTTGTTGGGTCTCAGTTGTCAATTTTTTATATTACATTAGCCCAAAATTCACTTGTAGCATTTCAAACAAAACCTTGTTCTTAAAATATAGAACAATTTAAATCCTTAGCATTAGATTGGACAACAAAAAAGGCTTTAGACATAACACGTGATGCAAATGCTAGAGGTGTATCTGTGCAAAGAAATTTATCCTTTTATGTATATCTCTAAGAGTCACAACAGTAACCTAATTTTGTACGCATGTACATACGTATGCACGCACCTTTTTAATAAGCTCCAGAGCAAGGAACGTGATTAAATACGAGTTTACATGCAAATTCCGAATGGAAAAGTTTTTACGTCAAATTGATGAGGGTTTTTTGAAAAAATTCGATTATGAAGAATTTGAAAATATTAAAAAAAATTCGGATGGGTCAAATTTAATTGAGAGTGCATTTTGGAGAAAAAAACGTCGTCATGTAGTCCTCAAATTTTTAAAAGAAAACTGTGAAGACAAATATTATAAAAAACTTCTCAGAGAGGTATGTCGTTGTCATGTAAAAACGTTATTTCAAGGATCATACTGAAATTTACAAATAAATAGATAAGAAACATAAAAAAAGTTGACGACGATGCAAACGTAATCAAATTCTATGGTGTTACTAAAGGTATTATTTATATAGTTCTTTTTTTTTACTCCTACATTCTTTTTAATGAATACTTACGTTTCATAATCTTAGATCCTTCAAAAGAATTTTACTCTATGGTATTTCACCTTTATAACAAAACCCTTAGAGAGTATTTGAAAGATGTCTCAAAACAAGACTGGCATTCCAAATTAAAAATGGCTAAAGATATTGCCAATGGTTTAAATTATATTCATGCAGAGAATGTTATACATTGTGATTTGGTTAGCATATTATTTTTTAGTTCTTCAATAAGACCGTTTGGCTGCAAAGAATAACATTTTCTCAATATTTTATTGACTTTTTTATTAATATTATTTATTTGTTTTTTATTTTACGTACAGAACTCAAAAAACATAATGAATGATATAAGTAATGATAAATTGATAATAACTGGTTTTAGTTCATCCATATCACTCGACCGTGATAGTGAAACAGAATATACTACAAAAATTACTGATGAAAATGTTGCTTACGTGGATCCGAAATGGTTTGATACTGCAGTTAATCATAAACATGATAAATCTTCGGATATATATAGTCTTGGTGTGATATTATGGGAAATATCAAGCAGCCAAATCCCTTTTAATAATAGATTTGGAAAGAATATTGAACGTCTACAATCAGCTCTCTTAGATGGGACGAGGGAAAATCCCATCAATTTAACACCTGTAGACTACAAAGAACTTTATTGTGATGCATGGAGTAATGATTCTAAAAAGCGTCCATTAATCGAAGATGTCATTAATCTCCTCCGAGATATTGAGTTAGATTGTGTATATAAAGATTGTGATTATATTCCAGAAATTTGTTTAGGGAAAATAGATACTTCTATATCAAAAAAAGAAGCCTGCTTAATGGTAATTAAGGGTTCACCTCAAAATAAATACTTTTTCCTTTCTCCAGATGAAACACTTATAGGAAGGAAGAATTCAAATCACATCATTATAAGAGATCAAGAAATTGCTAAAATACATGCAAATATTAAAAATTTCAATGGAAAAGTTGACATAACCAACTTAAGTTCGGGGTCAGGGATTGTTATTAATGGTGAAGAACTTTTATTTCATGATTCCCGTAATTTAAAAAGAGATGACATGATTAAAATGGGACGCTGTACTTTTCAATACCTTCCCGCTGGGGAATATGAGAGCCGCATTGATAAACTTTTACCGATTTATAACGTTGGTTATTTGAAGAAATGCTTGGAAAATGAATTCTTGAATGCAAGAGAAAATAAGCAGAAGTTGAGTTTGTTGTTTTTTGATTTAGATAACTTCAAAAGTATCAATGATGGAAATAACCATGAAGCTGGTGACTACGCTTTAAAAGAGTTAGCTGAACTGATTCAAAATCATCATCGTATTCGTGCTGAAGACATTTTTGCACGATACGGTGGAGATGAGTTTACAATCCTTCTCAAAAATACAGATATAAAGTTGGCCAGTGAAATTGCTGAGGAAATTCGAGTTTCTGTTGAAGCACATTCATTTACTTATAGGGAAAAAAAATTACCAGTTACACTTAGCATTGGGGTTACTGGAATGGATCCATCGGTAGAAACTTATAATAAATTGTTAAATCATGCTGATGAAGCTTTAAAGAAGGCCAAGGAATATGGTCGCAATAACGTAGCAATATGGGAGAGTGAAAACGATATAGAACATTTAAAGAATGTGCAACAGCTTGATCTGAAAAAAGGTCGAGGAGAAATGTTAAGCGAATTAGGTGAATTGAATGGATTAAAAAATCGATATCTAGAAGACTTGAATGAAATTTGTGAATTCAGAGAAGCACTAGCTTTATATGTCGAGCCGCGAGGGAAGTGGAATGTGCCAGTTATAATGTCATCAGCTGGTAAAGAAGAAATGGGTTACAAAGAAAGAGAAGGCGATATAGAAAAAGTAGTTAGGAATTTTTTGACTTCAAGGCATGAACTTATTTCAGATGATAAGAAGATTCTGGAGAATGTATCCAATGAATGTTTTGTTTCAAAAGAAATAAAGCCGCTAATTGAGACAGTTAATCGCTTTTTTACACCGGAAAATCAATTAACTTTGGAGGATATAAATGTTTTGAAGGTGGCAACTAATCAATTTTTGGCTTTAAAGGATCAGAAGGCTTGGAAGCTTCTGGAGATGGCGATGAATGAGTTTCTAGAGTCATCAAAAAGAGTTGAGAGAGTATTAAAGAATACAATCCGTAAGTTTTTGGAAAGTCCACTGGTTTTGGAGGATAAACTGATCTTGAGAAGTAAATTAGACTTAGTAAGTCATATAACTAAAGAGGATGTTATAACTTTGGAAAAAGCTTCAAAAAATAAAAAAGAATTTAAAATAACTGCTAATAGACTACTGAACTTAAAAGCTAAAGAAGTTTTGGAGGCAGCAGTAAATCGCCTCCTAAATGAGAAACGTAAAAAAGTACTGTTGATATTAGGCAGCGGAGGAACAGGAAAATCGACGTTTAACCGCTACCTTGCTCGTAATCTATGGGAAGAATTTGACAACCAAAAAATGATGCAACCACTTATCCCTTTATTTATCGCACTAGCACCACTAGAAGGGTTGATAAATCAAGATCAGGATTTTATTGAAGCTTATTTACAGAAAGAAGGCAAACTATCCACAGATCAAATTGATATTCTACGAGAAAGGAAGTTTGTATTTATTCTAGATGGTTATGATGAGATTGCTGAACGTGAACGTCATTGCTATAACAAAAATAAGTTCTCCAAGTGGAAAAACGCGAAGATTATTATTAGTTGTCGACCAGAGTACCTAGGCAAAGACTATGAAAAAAGGTTCTGGCCTACAGAAAACGAAGGAAAAGGATTCCAAGAATTGACAATTACACCCTTTTCGCCGGCTGAAATAGAAAAATATACCATAAAATATGTTGATTATTCCCAGGATAAGGGTATCCCATTAACGTGGGATGCAAAAACATATATCCAACAAATAAAGAATATGCCACAAGTACAAGATCTTGTAACTAATCCTATTCTATTAAAAATTACCTTGAATGTTTTACCAAAAATTCTTGGAGAAAAAGAAATAACAACATCTCAGATAAATCGTATAGTTTTGTATGACGAATTTATTAAGCAATGGTTTGAACGTGCTCAAAATCGCCTATTAAACATTCAATTAAATCCCAAAGAACGAGATGAGTTTAACCGCTTGAATGAGGAAGATTTTTCTAAACATTGCCTACAATTTGGTAAAAAATTTGCTGCAAAAATGTTTGAAAATAATAACAAAGTAGTTGTAGACTATGATCCAGTAAGTATGGAGGAGGAGGAGGAGGACACATCCGATTGGGCGATGTTTTTAGGAAATAAAGATGTGGAATGTCGATTGATGCGCTTCAGCATGCCATTAATTCGACGTGGAAACCAATATTGGTTTTTCCATAAAACATTGCGAGACTATTTGATTGCTTGTGCGTTGTTAGACTCATCTAAAAATAAAAATACGTCGGAAAAAGCACTCTTCAACAAGCAATCGATTATGCCTGAACCTGCAATTCAACAATTTTTGGTTGAACGAATTCAACAAAAGCCAGAGCTCAAACAACAGATGTTAAATTTTATCGAATGCTCGAAGAAGAATGCAAATATTCAAATTGCATCCGTTAATGCCATTACAGTTCTTATGCGTGCCAAAATACAACTTCCGACAAATTTAAATAATATTCGTGTCCCAGGGGCGGATTTGAGCAATGGAGTTTTTAATAATTCACAACTCGTAAGAGCTAATTTAAACAATGTAAATTTTCAAAATGCAAAACTTCGAAATGTGAATCTCGAGGGTGCGTCCCTTCAAAATGCGAACCTCAAGGGTGCAGATCTCACTGGTGCAAATCTTCGGTATACAAATCTTCAAGGAGCAAATTTTCTTGATTCTTATCTCAAAAATGTAAATTTTGAAGGCGTAAATCTCAGAGTTCAAGATTTCCGAGGATTTGACCTCCGAAATACAGATTTCTGTGGTACATATTTTTAGTGTACTAATTTCCCTGGACGCTGTGAAAATCATTTGACTTTTTTTATAAACTTTAATTGTTGAATAGATTGACACAATTGCAATAAAATGTAAATAGATAAAATTTGTTAAATTCATAAAATTATTTAGTATATAACAAACATGTATATAAGCAACTAAAGCTTACCTTCGATAAACAGCATGGAGTTCAATATTGTAAAGTGTTTTGCTCCATCAATCCTTCAAATTAGCCTATATCGGAATGCTCGTGATGTATAGTTCTAATACTGTAATACTGTAATAACCTTAATTACCTGGTCAAACACGTGATGTGTGAATATTCTTCCATCTAAGGTTGCTGGCCATAAGTAATAATTACAGACATCCTAATTACAACTAATACTCAAAGTGTAAATATGTCGCAATGGTTATAATTGTCGTAATGCTGTAATTGTTGGCATAATCGTTATGGTTGTAATTGTCGTAAGAAACATAATCGTATCTTGCACGTCCTTGTAGACGTGTAATAAAACCAAATTTAACGATAGATAGCAAATAACAGTACATGTTCTGGTTTTTGAGTTTATAACTTAATGACTCAGGCCTTAAAAAATCCGACCAATTAATACATAATTGAATTTGATTATTACATTCTATCCTATTGCTATTATTTCATTTTATCGATGATAGAATTTTTCAAGGTTTAAGTCTAAAGATACTGGTGAAATTAAATTAGAGTGGTGAAATTGGTGTTGAATTAGTGAAATTTAATTTCACCAGCATCTTTAGTTGAGTTCATTAAATTCGAAAGCAAAACCTGGTTTTTCTTCGAAAGTTTGTGTGCTTGCATAAGCAAGTTAGAATACGTAAAGCTTTAATATTGATACAGGTTATACGTTCCACTAAGAAAGAAATATATGTGACAAATTGTCGCTTGGGAACAGGTTATGCCGCGTAACGTTCCTCGAACGTACTAAGAGGCGGAAACGATTTGGCACGGTCAAGGCGATAGTCAAGGAGCGTTACAGAGTAAGTAAACAGCTTAAAGAACATTTTAGTTGGTGATTGGTCTTTTTTTTAGAATACAATTTTAAAGGACTTTATCATTTTATTTAGGGTGGGGATTACATGCACATATATGAACTCTAAGAACGGCTCTTTTGACAATAGAAAACCCATCTCATTTATATAAGAAAATTACAAAAAAACAGGGAAGGAATTCTGAATACTTCTAATGTGATTTTTAACTTAAACCATTTTATCCTTTTTACTAACACGTTTTTTCTTTATCTTTTCTACAACCCAACCATCATTCTATTAACATTTTTCATTATGTCTCACCCCCCTAATGATGGTATACAAAACCCACATACTGTATGATGACACATATACATGGCCACATACTTTACCTGTCAAGGTAATATTGCCTTGACAGATGTCAACCAAATCAGGCAGGTAGCTTTTTCTCAATGAAATCGGCGCCATCACTCAATGGTGAACTTGGGTCCAACGGGTTTGCTGCAGGGGGTTCGTCGTTCGATTTCTTCATGGTCAGAGGGCATCGTGGTTCGACGGCTTTTCGTGAGGCATTTCTTGGATCGTTACGCGATGGGTCTTCATGGTCCTAGGGTCGGGTTTACCTACAACAATATATAGTATAGATTTGGACATGATCATGATGCGCATGGATATTTATCTGTTTACATGCGTGGTTTTTTTTTTGAATTTTAATACTATATCAATGCACGTCATTCTGGTTATACCGACATCTGGATATAACGACATCATAACAAAATCTTTCTATACCGACATTTTTTTTTCAAACTTTTAATATAAAATGTCGGTATAATTCACTGTATCGACATTTTGAAAAATTTTACTAATGTCTCAAAAATGTCGATATGACCGGAGTGACGTGTATATATATTAATTCTCTCATAATCTATAAATCATAAAATCAGAAATCTCGTTACTATCTGCAACATGCAATTACTTATTAGCAGAGTCAGATCATCATAGTCGTTACACCCATTACAACCATTACACCTATTGCGACCATTATGACAAAGCATTACTTCGAGATAAAGGTTTCAACCTTCCAACTCAAGTAAATCTATTACGGCAGTCATGCTTAGAAATTCCATCCTATATCTACTTTGAAAGTCATTTTGCTTTATTTAACACATCTTCACATCTTCAAAAAGCCATTATCCAAAACATTAGATCTTAAAATTACATTTATAGTTCCTTTCTATAGAACGTGAAGGCATTTAAATTAGACTGAAAAAAAGCATATCCTGGTCAACAATATGACCAAATTTTTATTATAATTATTATACTGTATATATGAGACCTTATTTGTCAATAATTTTGTCTCTTAATAGACATTCTAATGACTATAGTAAAAATTCAAAATAATGGGCATCTATTATTTTGGCCACCTACACGTTATTCGAGACGAAAAGTCAGCCTATTTATTACTCTTGATATAGAAATACTCTCTAGAGTTATGCGATGCTACGATATGCATATAATCGACCGTTTGCATCGCATAATCAAGCAAAAAAAGGCATCATGATTTGTAGATAAATGTAAGAAAGTGAAATTTTATGGCACTAAAATCGCCAAATTCGCTTGGTATTATGAGAAACGAGACAAGAAACTAATTCCAGAATATTCTAACGTAGATAATGAAAGAACTTTAAATATTAGCGGGTTAGTGCAAATTTTTTTGATTAATGCCCGGAAGATTTCAAAGATTGAATGGACAAATACATGAAAGTACTACCATAAATTGCATAATAGGGCTCATTTCGCCCGCATAATCTGTCCCATCACATTGTATAACGATAATCCTGAACACCCGATATTTTATCTTTAAATGCATGTCTTGTTAAATACTCATTCACTTTTAACGATTTGACTACAAAAAAAGCTGATCTATTATTATACGTATTTATATTTTTAATTTAAAATATACCATTAAGTTTATATATAATTTCAAAGTAGTAAAAGTAGTACCCTACCCTTAAATGTTGCACCATCTACATGATAACATTCATTTTGTATTTTTGATTTTATTATTTTGTTCAATATGTTTATTTTTTTTACTCTTCTTTGCCAAGATTACTCAAAAGAAATGGCTCGAAAAAGCCATTTCTGAGGGACACATTAATTATCATGATTATAATAGGTTTACTGACCGTAAGGAAGTTGGTGTTGGAGGTTTTGGAACAGTTTATAAATACGAATGGAAAGAACGCAAATTAACAGTCGCTCTTAAATGCCTCGATCCAAATTTAAGCAAAGAGGATTTAGAGGATTTCATTAAGGAGGTATTTATATATATTTTAAATTTAATACTGTCTGATATGGGCACTGCAAAGTAGAATTCTTTAGATTGAGGAATTCGGACTTCAAATGATAATAACACATGTTCAAAAAACTGTACGACATATTATTCTAGTCGGACCCAGTGTTTAAAATTCAGAACAAAAATTATTTGCATATTTGCATTAATTTTTACAAAATACCAGCATATTAAAAAAGCTCTTGCACATGTGTATCTTGTGCAAGCCAATTTTAAACACTCGTCGGATCGATTAAAAACTCGCATTCCGTTGTGTAAAGAATTTTATCTTCAGGCTTCCTGGTTGTCATTTGGCGATAATTATATTAAATTATATATCGTATTTCTATAACTCATGTATAAAGCTTAAACTATTACGAACCGTTTGTTGTCATCCAAATATTATTCAATTCTACGGAGTTACGAAGGGTACATATACGGTTTATAATTTCTAAGAGTATGATAATAAATATACAAAAATATTTACATTTATGTATAAATAAATAGATCATTACCGTTATTATATGGTTCTAGAATATGCTAATGAAGGAAATTTACATGACTACCTGAAAGCAAATTTTAAAACGATGCGATGGACAGATAAATTACGCATTGCTATGGAAATAATACGTGGCCTTTTATTCCTACATGCAGAGGATATTATTCATAGAGACCTTGTAAGTATATGATATCTTATATTACACATGTTTATAAATTTTATTTGCTAATATTCAATTTATTACTATTATTATTTCAAAGACTCCAAAAAATATTTTAATTCATGATAAAAAGGCGCAAATTTCAGACTTTGGTCTGTCAAAACGGATAAATGAGACTTCAGACTCATGTAGTCAGGGAGTGTTGGTATATACAGAACCTGAATGTCTTATAGACTCAAAATATGAACGTGATAAAAGATCGGATATCTATAGCTTTGGTGTAATCCTTTGGGAAATTTCAAGCGGTGAACCACCATTCAAATCCTTTGAAAATCATTTAAAACTATGTATTCACATTTGTAAAGGAAAAAGAGAAGAAGATATAGAAGGCACACCGCCTCTATATGTTAATCTTTATAAAAAATGTTGGAGTGTGGATCCTAAGGAACGTCCAGAAACGGAATCAGTTTTTGATACATTAAATCAGATTATTCCGACTTTAAATGAGCAACCTAACAATGATCATCTATCAGAGAGTGAAAACGCTTTTTTAATGTCAGAATACAATCTAGTAGATTTAAGAAAAGCGCAAGAGCTGGACCTGAAAAGAAGTAGAGTAGAAATGTTAAGCGAATTGGGTGAATTGGATGGATTAAAAACTCGATACCTAGAAGACTTGAATGAAACTTATGAATTTAGAGAAGCCCTAGCTTTATATGTCGAGCCACGGGGGAAGTGGAATGTGCCAATTATCAAGTCATCAGCTGGTAAAGAAGAAATGGGTAACGAAGTAAAAGAAGATGAAGATATAGAAAAAGTAGTTATGGATTTTTTGACCTCAAGGGATAAACTTACTTCAGATGATAAGAAGAATCTGGAGAAAGCAGCCAATAAATTCTTTGATTCAAAAGAAATAAAGCCGCTAATTGAGACAGTTAATAGCTTTTTTGTACAGGAGAATCAATTAACTTTAGAGGATATAAATATACTGAAGGTCGCGGCTAATCAATTTCTGGCTTTAAAGGATCAGAAGGCTTTGAAGATTTTGGAGATGGCGATAAATGAGTTTTTAGAGTCATCAGGAGATGAGAGAGTATTGAAGAATACAATACGTAATTTTTTAGAAAGCCCACTGGTTTTAGAAAATAAATTGTCTTTGAGAGGTAAATTAGAGTTAGGAAATCAAATAACTAAAGAGGATGTGATAGCTTTGGAAAAGGCTTCAAAAGATAAAAAAATTGATGAAATAACTGCTAATAGACTACCAAATTCAAAAGCTAAAGAAAATTTTGAAATAACTGCTAGTAGACTACTAAATTCAAAAGCTAAAGAAATTTTGGAGGCAGCAGTAAATCACCTCCTAACCTTGAAACGTAAAAAAGTGCTGCTGATATTAGGCGGCGGGGGGACGGGAAAATCGACATTTAACCGCTACCTTGCTCGTAATCTATGGGAAGAATTTGATAAACAAAAAATGACGCAATCACTACCTATTCCTTTATTTATTGCGCTAGCGCCACTAGAAGAGCTGATAAATCAAAATCGGGATTTTATTGAAGCTTATTTACAGAAAGAGGGCAAACTATCCACAGATCAAATTGATAGCTTACGGGAAAGGAAGTTTGTATTTATTTTAGATGGTTATGATGAGATTGCTGAACGTGAACGTAATTGCTATAACAGCAATATGTTTTCTAAATGGAAAAATGCGAAGATTATCATCAGCTGTCGACCAGAATATTTAGGTAATGATTATGAAAAAAAGTTCTGGCCTAAAGAAAACGAAGGAAGAGGGTTCCAGGAATTGACAATTACACCATTTTCGCAGGCTGAAATAGAAAAATATATCAGAAAATATGTTGTTTATTCTCAGAAAAATGGTATTCCATTAACGTGGGATGCAGAAACATATATACAACAAATAAAGAATATGCAGCAGGTACAAGATCTTGTAACTAATCCTATTCTATTAAAAATAGCTTTGGATGTTTTACCAAACTTAATTCTTGGAGAAAAAGAAACCTCTCAGATAAATCGTATAGTTTTGTATGACGAATTTATTAAGAAATGGTTTGAACGTGCTCAAAAACGCTTGTCAAACATTCAATTAAAGGAGAAAGAACGAGATGAATTTACACGCTTGGATGAGGAAGGTTTTTATAAATATTGTCTACGATTTGGTAAAAAATTTGCTGCAAAGATGTTTGAAGACAATAACAAAGTAGTTGTAAATTATGATCCAGTAAGTGAGGAAGAAGACGCAACCAATTGGGAGAAATTTTTAGGAAATAAAGATGTGGAAATTCGTTTGTTGCGCTTTAGCATGCCATTAATTCGACGTGGAGATCAATATTGGTTTTTCCATAAATCATTACGAGATTATTTGATTGCTTGTGCGTTGTTAGATTCATCTAAAAATACGTCAGAAACAACACTCTTCAACAAGCAATCGATTATGCCTGAACCTGCAATACAGCAATTTATGGTTGAACGAATTCAACAAAAGCCAGAGCTCGAACAACAGATGTTAAAGTTTATTGAATGCTCGAAAAAGGATGCAAAGATTCAAATTGCATCCGTTAATGCCATTACAATTATTATGCTTGCCAAAATACCACTTCCGCCAGATTTAAACGATATTCGTGTCCCAGGGGCGAATTTGAGCAATGGAGTTTTTAATAATTCACAACTTGTAAGAGCTAATTTAAGTAATGTAAATTTTCAAAATGCAAAACTTCAAAATGTGAATCTCGAGGGTGCGTCCCTTCAAAATGCGAACCTTAAGGGTGCAGATCTCACTGGTGCAAATCTACGGTATTCAAATCTTCAAGGTGCAAATTTTCATGACTCTTATCTCAAAAATGTAAATTTTGAAGGCGTAATTCTCCGAGTTCAAGATTTCCGAGGATTTGACCTCCGAAATACAGATTTTTGTGGTATATATTTTTGATGTATAAATTCCTTGGGTGCTATGAAAATCGAAATAATCTCACCAGACATTCGATTTTTTTTAATCGCTAAAGTAGTATAGGTTGATGCAGTAACAATAAAATGTGAATAGATAAAATTTGTTAAATTCATAAAATTATTTCATATATTTATAACAAAAATGTAAATAAACAACTAAGGCTTACCTCCAATAAAGAACAACGCAGAGTTCAATATTATAAAGTTTTTCGCTCTACCAATCCCCGATTGGTAAATAATATAAAGACATAACTAACATGACTCAATGTTGGAGAGCTTGCAGAGCTCTAATTACTCGAGCCAGCGCCTCGAAGTCTTGCCATTATTGGGTTAGCGTAATATTTGCAGTGAGTTATTGTTGTGTGACCATTATTCTGGCCCTAGAAGTCGTTTCACGTCTTCAAAAAGTAATCATCCAAAAAATAGAACTTAAAATTATATTTATAGATCTTTCTATAGATCGTGTAGGCATTTAACTTAGACTGAAAAAGGCATATCGATATAATATGTCCTAACCAATAGCCGGATCAAATTCCTATTATCATTTTTGTTTTTTTTTTGTCTTTTACGGTGATACTAGTCTTTTATTAGGATTTAGTAAGCTCGTTTACAAAACTTTATAAAAATACTAGCTCACCCGGTTGTTCTGAGAATACCTATTACTAATTTTCTTTGAAATAGGTTCTATTAATATGTCTTTGGATAATTCCTATTATCATTATTACATATGAGTGCCGCCAAGGGAAAAGGGCACCTCGCTTTCGATAACATTAATATAAAATGTTATTAATTAATGTATAATTTTAAGCCGATCTGCATCATTACTTAACTCGATAATTAATCAGTAATCTGCTTAAATTGCTGAGGTGCCCTTTTCCCTTGGCGGCACTAATATAATTTTGTCTCTTAATAGACATTTTGTTACTATTGTAAGAATTCTAAATAATGGTTATCGGTTATTTTGACAATCTACGCGTTATTTCGAGCGCGCCCATAGGAATTATTTTGAGACAAAAACCAAAGTTCCGAGCCTATTTGTTACTATATACAAATTGCTAATATATTATATGAAGGTGCTTTATTTCAAGACGTTATTTAATAACCAAATATACCGTTTTTAAAGGACTTGACATTGGAATAATAACATGCTGGTTTGATATAGTAATTGGGGACTATGGTAATAATGAAAATTTGAAAACTTAGTAATTTACTTTTGATTGTAATCCAATTAAATCTACAAAACCTCAAGTGAGATTTTGGATTTGGATCATGAAAATTAGTTTTGACGACAAAGGTATATTAACATCTCTAGATGTAGATTCTAAGTGGTTGTGAAGAATGTTACTTTTGTTAAGACAAATAAACGCATAAATAAAGTCTTGTATAAATCATGGTTGATGACTTTATATCAAAAAGAAAAAAAACCCCCAAAATTTCTGATTTATTTATCAACTTAATGACGTTCGTACATAATAAAATTTCACATCTTAATCGGCCAGTTTTTCGGAAATTAGATTCTCAGTATAGATCCACAAGTTATTTATCAATGTCTCGTCTTCAGCCTTAGGATTTGGAGCACAAATTTTTCCATATGGAATAAAGTACAAACCCCGATAATTTTTATCTTCAATTTCAGGACTTGTAGCACAATATAATTGAGTTATTGCACCATTTTCAGGGCTTGATGCAAATAGATACCCGATTTTTAACATTAAGACACCAAAGAAGGTATAATTTTCTCGCATATATCGAACCAATTCAGTTTTAACGAAACCTTTAGATTTTTAAAAGAAAGAATAGTGATTAATTATAACAATTTATCATAATGAATTAAATGAAAATATACCTGGGTGATTACAATTAACATAAACATTTTTTCCTTCACATCTATTAGCCAGGGCTTTAGTAAAAAGGATATTTGCCAATTTAGATTGAGCGTATCGACACCAAGAAGATTGTGCATTTTCATTTTGAAGGTTGTCGAATTCAATTCCATTTCTTGCCGATCTGTGCGCTTCACTGTTGTAAAAATTCAAGAATTAAATTAAATATAAAAAAAAAAAAATTATTTATCGTTATAGAATTTTGAATAAATAATAATAACGCAATATAATGTAAATTACCAGCTAACATTTACGATACGTGATGGCGCAGATTCTTCAATTCTTGGAAGTAAAATCTTTGTAAATAACTATATAATTTAAAAATGAAATAAGGTTTAAAGTTATTAAAATAATTCCATTCGTGCTTTCGAAAATACTTACGTAATGCCCAACATAATTAACGCCAAATTGGTCTTGAATATCGTCTTGAGCTTGAGAAATTAAAATGAATGATAATAAGCTAAAATGTGTATTCTAATATGATAAATTGATTTATGGAATATTTACTTAAAGCCCAAGGACTATAAATAAATGCATTTATCGTTAGAATAGAATGGTATTAAAAAAGATTTTTATAGTTATTAGAAAGTAGAAATTTAGATGGTACAATATATTAGATATAAATATAGTACTTGCGTTGCCATAATTCCAGCATTGTTAATACTACGAGCGAATTAAATTGGTCATACTTAAAAATTTTGATATCGATACGCAATTATATAGTATACTGTATATTTATATATATACTAACAGAATATGTAACGGTAAACCCCTGCTCAAAAAATTTTCAGCCGATCGTTTAACATTTCTTAAATTCATCAAATCCAAATGTAAGAATTCCACATTATTATTGTCTGTTTCTTCTTTAATTCTGTTTATTGCCGAATTTGCGAGTTCTTCATTACGACTTGCAATGAAAACATGCGCACCATGACGAGCTAATTCTCGAGAAGTTGCATAGCCAATACCTGAATTCCCACCGGTTACTATCGCAACCTTTTTTGATTAAAAGATCGATTATGAACCTAAAGAACCCTTAATTAATAACTAAAAAGCAAGTTAAGCTTTGATTAATGTTACCTTCTCACTCAAATTTGGAATATCGTTGAGAGTAAACATATTCCTAATAATTGTTTTATCGTAAACAAACAAGCAATGTCACTTTATAAAATTAATGAATTATGCTTGAACTTATAAAAGACAGCCAAACCGACTATATGCACATATTATAAATTTTTTTCTTGTTTTGCACTGATAAGAACTAAATGGTGTTGATTACATGCCTGACTGCTTATCTGTGCATGTCTAGCTACTGATAAGTTTCAATTAGTATATATTAACATGTAGTTTCTAACAAACCGTTTTTGGTTTATTCTTTATAACTATTACATATTATCAAGTTTACTTTTACATATAAATACTTATATTTCATGTGTCAAACTCAACAGAAATGTTCAGGTACCTTAAATGGCTTACGTATTAGATTAAAGCTTATCGTTATCAATTTCTTAAAAACTATCCTTACACTCAATTCCACGATTACGTAAATATGACTAGTCACGTGTTGAAGAGTATTTCGTTTTAGGCGAAGATATCAGTAATTTCATGGTAAATTCTAAAAATCTTTTAAGATTTGAGAAATCTGAAATACTTGAGATAAATTTTAAGATTTCTTAAAACGTAGCCAATTACGTTTCAAATCCAATGTACTCGTGTAATTCTAAAAATTCTTGAAATTAATGCCTTAAAGTTTGGGTAAATTTTAATTGATTAAAAGAATGAAATAAATTAATTTTAACACTTTATTCACAATTCTATATCCTATAGTGCAAGAAATGGTATACTTACTTGGGACATACTAAGTCTAATAAACTTTTAACAATATCAGAGTAATCTTCAACGTATAAAAGAATTTCTCAAACAATCGCAAATCAAAATTTTGCCTTCGTCCCTCACTCCTATGTTTTTAGATTCGACATTACTATCCGTTTTGACATACATTGCAGTCTTTTCATATGTCAGACACCACGACATTTTTGAATGTAAAAATGAACGGCTTCTTAGTAGGGTGACTTACAGTATGTATAAGATATATTACATGACTTTATTTTGTAATCTTTTATCATTGCATGGCTTAGTTATATGAATCTCCTAACCAATAATTTATATTTGAATTTTAATAAACCTACGCGATTCACACGCGATTTTTAGCTAGTTTTTCGTGATTTGTGATCAACCAATAATATCATATTATTTCCTATTCGGAGAAATTAGAATGTACCCCGGGAATATACACTCGGAGGATACTATAATAGAAACCATATAAATCAAGCGTTTTGTCTAACTATTTTCTGATTGACCATGTATTATACACGGGTATATATCGATTTTTCAGACTATATGACTAATATAATGCCCGGCTACTATTGGCTGTGGGTACTTCTCACTGGGGTACTATAAGGTGCGTTATACGGTAATTCATATATCTACTTTTTATTGAGTGATTGTTGGGGAATGATTAAAGTCGAACCGCTTCCGTGATTTCTAGAGTTAGTCTACTTCTGTGATTTCTAGAATCAATTTTTGTCGATGGTGCTGAATTTGGACCTATATTGATATGAACTTTTAAAATTTTGGGGGTGTTTTTTCCGTTTTTTTTTTAGAATTTTGGGCTAGAATTGATAAATGAGCGCTGCCAAGGGAAACCCTGACTTCAAGCTTTTTTATTTATTATTGACCGGATTCTACTGTTTCCGGACAATTAGAAAATTCTTTGTACACGTGCTTGATATGTTAATGATTCAATTCTTCAGTTTTCTCTTGGCATCACCAAATAATGTGTATATGTGGATTTTAGCAGGGCTTTTATTTTCAAATCGAAACCCCAAATTTCAGCATCAGCCGTTAAAATTTATTAATTTATCTATTATTTTATTTATTTATTTATTTTTATCTTTGTCGTTACAATTAACCAATGCAAGAATCATATTAAATTCTGCGAAAGTATTTGTTCCTTTCCAAAGCAATTCATAGCTTACTATATTTTCTTAACATTAATTATTCTTCTACAGTTAGATTAAGAATGAGAATAGAAATTAATTACTATATCTAGTGCAACACTGCCATGTCACGTTGTGCCAACCAAAAAAAATCAAAGTCATAAGAAATTATGATTTCTTTAGAATAATTCGATTCCTTAAATTACTTCCTCTTAACATAATTGTACAACACAATACAGATTAAATGTTTACCGATTTTCATATCGATATCAACCCACGTACATATGTACGTACATACAATGCGTATCACTTATTCTCGAAAACAATCTAACCACCAAATAGGAAGCAAATACACATGACATAAATCTTGTGGATCTTCATTTCTACACTTCTCACATGTACATTCAAATCCATAAGCAGGAATTAAATGTATTGCTCTGTCCTCTTTATTTAATGTTTCATTACAATAACTAATAAAGATCTGTTCGCCTTTTTGAATTTTTCTTAAAGATACTAAATTTATATTATTTTCTTTAATTTCTTCATCACTTGATTCATCTTTTCCTCCAGTATATTGCATAGAAACATATGGATCTGTATATGCGTTCGGCACACATGAATGATTTATAAATGACATGAACTTATAAAGACATGCCAATCCATCTCGTCCAAATGAATTAACTTGAAGTTTACACATTATAGTAATGTAAATCCAAAAATCATATTGTATATCATATGGCGATATTTCAAGTAATTCTAGCGTTGAAAAATAAAAATCAAAATATATTGATGGTAAATATGCTTCCATTTTTTTATCATTAGTTATTCCAATTGATGATGGTCTGTATTGTGCAAGGTACTTAATTTCTTGAATATCAAGTGGTGAGATATTCCTCATTTTTGCATATGCAAAGATTTTTAATAAAAATAATGGATTAGAATCCCCTTTTCCTGATTTATGTTGATGTAGAATATGTAAAAATGGTTGAAGGTTCTTTCCACAAAGTGCCGGATGATATTGTGTCATCGCTAGATCGAAACATTGTTTATTACAAAATATTTCAGTGCAATTTTTGTTGTTTTGGCAATTCAATGTTGATAAATTATTATCTTGGTCGATTTTAAAATCTTTGAAATTTGAATCTTTAAGATAACGTGCACAATGGCTACATCTTGGTGATGTGTAGCCATGAACAGTAAGAAAGGGATCTTCATTCAAAGCCACTGTTCCTTCTGAAATTTCTTCTTTTGCAAATATTCCCAATTGGGTTGTAAATGTTTCACAACTTGTATTCTGTTTATTCGGATTTAATAGTGAGATGGTTACACTTTTAGAAGAAATAATGTCTAATTCTCGTTGTAACTTTCCAATATTCAATTCATTTCCACGGCTTTCCAATCTCTCTCTATCCCACGGATAATTAAAATTTGTCATTCCCATATCCATGATTCTTTTAATGATTTCATTAGTATTTGGAACATGATTTAAAGATTCAAAAATAAACATTGTATTGAGTGCTAGCTTTGAATTTAACTGAATTTGATAGTCATCTTTTTTTCTTAGCAGTTGTTGACGAAGTTGCATTGAAAGAATATTATTGTATAAAGGATTGTCTAAAAAAGAATCTAAAATAGTAATAGCACGTGGGAAAACACCAAATTTTGAAAGTGACTCTGACATACGATCAATCGTTTTTATAAAAAGTAACTGCAAGTTTTGATCATTTGTATGTTGATCTTTGAGTAGGTTGTAAGCTTTTAAAGCATCAATGTAACCAAGTTCAAAAACATTAAGCTTCATGTCTGTAAGAGATCTATTAGACCATAACACTGGATTTTGGGGCGTTTGTGCAAGACCTTTTGTGTAACAATTCCATGCTGAAAGATAATCACCCTCTCTGAAAAATTGGTTGCCTTCGATGTGGAAATTCATAATAATTAGTAATATTTTTGTGAAAATACATGAGAAATTGTTCGCAAAAATGTAAAACAATTACTAATCACATAGTTGTAATTCATGTACATATGATTACATGTGCATAAAGTATGATTTTTTAACTCTTAACCTCCGCACATAGACTCATATTTACTAAACTTCTTGATAGTATGTTGAAAGACTTTGATAAATTACAATGCTTATTAAAGTTTTTAGTTATATAATATATTATCCTTTAAACCATCAGTTTTAACTTACCATTTTGCTCGCTAAAAATAATATAAACAGCCATATACAGTAACTGAACTATCACTATTATATAGATAGCAAGCTTTTTAGTACGTAGCAGAAGATCCGCGTTCTTGTAATGTGTCTGGGTTTGTCGATCGTAAAGCTTGGTTGAAATCTTGTAGATTCTTTAATGAGTTTTGGTTTATTATTACATCTGCTTAAGTTTATCTATTCATCTATTCTCTAAATATTTATTTTATAAGTTTCTTTGTATGATAAATCTTTTTTAAAAAAACATGCATTCTGATTGGTTAATTATCACGGGTATATACATAAAATTAACCAATCATATGAATGTCTTTCTATGACTTTGGCCCGCTTTATGCTGATTTTACCCGCATCACAAACGTACAGATAAAAGATCATTGCGTATGCCGCGTGCATTTCACATCACTAGGTCAGACCAATTTAATTCTCTGTACCAGGAATGTAGTATTTTAAATTACGATGTAAATTACAAAGTGTATAGTTAACCGCCATCTAAAATGGCGGGTGGCAAATTCAGGACTTTTATTGGATGGTGACTAAAATATAAAATATATTATGCATGGATATACGTATCGGTATATGCGTATGTTACAAAATCCAGTTTTGATCCGTGCCATGATGAAGCCAACCCGTACCATTACGGTACATTGTTATTATAGGTGATTAGTTATTATAGGTGATTAATTCCACTTAATACTTTTAAAGAAAAAAAAATGGTTATTTTTTAAGTATCTTTAAAAAAAAATTTTTTTTAATTATAGTAATATAAATCCTTAATTTTTTGGCTGAATCTCTTGAAGGAATATGAAAGCATACATGAATCAAAGAAGATCCAACAGGTTACTACTCTAGATGTCAAAATCAAGAATTCATTCGAAGAGAAAAGTGCATTCGAAAATTATCCGCAGTCTGGGACTTCCTACCGCAAAAGAATATTTTCTTAATGAGATTATTATAAAATTTTTAAATTGATTTTCCTTCGGAAAATGCGACTAACAAATTTAACCAGTTTTAATTGAATATATAAATTGTAAGTCTTAACAACTTATATTTCACAAGAATTGTAATATAAATTTTACTGATCAAAGCTATTTTAATTTATCGCGTTTTACTTCACTCATTCCATGTTATTAAAGAATGGTTTACTTTCTCTAAGTTTTTATATTGTCATCCAATTTTCGAACTAGGACAAAATTTACATGTAAATCCATTTTCTATTGTTGCATTCAAAATATTTATGAATTCTTGATAAATACGTTTTTAAAAATTTCTGATTATATAATGGCTTTCTCTTATAATTCTAATCAAGTCATTCCTGAGACAATAAATATACACATTCTGATTAATTGCAAGTACCGGAACTGATTATCGGTAAACCATATCAGCGGATTGGTGTAATTACCCCAAAATATTGAACTACGATTGAAGTGAGTCAGTCAGTTGATAATTATTTGATCAAAATACGTTAACTGTTAATTATTAGTCTAAAGTTTAAATTTTAAAAAATGTATAATTTTAATTACGTAATATAAATAAATAATATGTAATATAGTGATAATGATATATAGTTAAAATTATAAATATATATTTATCTATGTTATTTATTTTTTTTATATTTGCATTCGACAAACAAAATGTTCGAAACAAAAAACTATTCAAGGAGTTTTATAATCAAAGCCAAAACATCATGCAATAAATTCATATATTATATTATTCAGGAAGAAATTTATCCAAGCAAAAATATTCTTGCTTATACATCAAAACCAAATCAATATAGAATTCCTCACAACTATGTAGTTGAAACTACATATGGTAGAGGCAAAACACAAAAAACTATACTATGTTCAATTAATTACCAAAATAATGTACCTGAATTTAAAATCAAATTTACATATAATAATAATAATAAGTTTGTTATTTCAAGATCTAGTGCAAAGGGGTGTGGCGACCTAGTGAAGTGGTCAGGTTGTCAACCCTCCAAGTGGTAGGTTGGGTGTTCAAATCCCA